ACGCCTGTCTTCTGTGTGGTCGTGGTATTACTGGGGGCGTGCCGGCCCTGCAGTGCTAAGATGTTAATGCGGGCACTACCACTGTTAGGAATAGAAGAGAGAGAGAGAGAGAATCAGCAGTTTAGCCTACAAATTCTTGCAAACTTACGCATTTACAATATTAGTAAGATGCGAAAATTTAGATGGATGGATGTTAGTGTAGCCTAAAATGAACGAATCTCGATGATTGTCATAGATGTAGGTAGTCTGGAAGAACACATAAGCTACTCGATTTTTTTTATGTCTCTCGGACAGTCTCGTCGATAGCTTTATCATATTAGTAAGTAAGATTATAATATGCATATTTATATTCCAACTTACCTGTATGTGAACGAACATGTAACTTAAGGTAGTAACTTAATGTAAATTGCTTTTGACATGCAAAACATTTGAACATTTTTTCCAAATTATTGTCCTTTTGTGGTTCATCCTTTGTAGAATTTTCTTTGACCCCTGTTAACTTAGAATCTAACTTATTTTCAACTTCATTCGGTTTATAATCTACAGTTTTCGTATTCCCTATATAACCATCTTCTGGTTTGATATCGATTTCTGTACCGTTTTGCATTTTTTTCAAAGATTTTTTCAATTTTTTCAATTTCTTCTGCTCTTTACGGATTTTTTTTCTTTTCAATTGATTTTTCAATCTCAAACCATAGCTGGTTATTCTATCTTTATGCGTTGTGATGTGTTTATCTAATTCTGACAGCAATTTAAAACTGATATTGCAAACCGCACAACCGTAGAAAGGGAAATCACTGTCAGCTATTTTCTCCGATAGGAAACTCTTTCTTTCTCTACCTTTTGTTTCTTTCTTAACTTTCGTCTGTTTATTTTGATCAACATTTTCTTTAACATTGGAGTTTTCTTTGATATCTGTTATTTCTTTTGTATGTATATCTTCTTTATTACAATTTATAGGATATTGTATTTTAAGGTCGTAATTATATGTATTCTGGTATTGTGAAGGGTATGGTTGTTGTGGGTAGTTTGAATATTGAGGATAATCAAATGTTGCTAGAGGATCTATTTCTACACTGTGGAGGTTTGAGTTCATCTTGATTTCCTGTAATTTGAAAAACATAGAAAAATTAATCCTTACTAGTATAATGAAGCGTAAACACACACTTCTTGGTTGCCTAAGATGGCAGCAATTACATCATATTTTTGAATAATTCTTTTATGAATATGTCACGTTAAATTTACGTCACACTTTAGGCTATATAAATTCACGCAGTTAAAATTAGATGTAAATATTTTGGATAAAAACCCTAATGTGGGAAAGAGACCATAAGTTGCTGCCAACATCAAGGAAGCAAGATTGCTAAGGTTTGTTATGTCATGTCATTTGACATTTGTAAACAATAAAATAAAATTTTCATAATTTCATGCGGATGAAGCCGCATGGGAACAGTTTACTAGCTGCTATGTACTCATAATAATAGATTTAATATAACATTACTTAAGCACGCCAATTGGTGATTTTAGCACTTAACTTGTAATGACTATATGACTGAATATATAACTATTAAGACTGGTTTCCCAGTTATATTTTATCATCATCATCATCACCAGCTCAATATATGTCCCACCGAGGGCCTCGGAGCCTACCCTCAAGTTAGGGTGACTAGGCCATAGTCAACCACGCTGGCCAAGTGCGGGTTGGTTGACTTCACACATATCTTTGAATTTCTTCGCTGATATGTGAAGGTTGCATCACGATGTTTTCCTTCACCGTAAGAACGTCGGGTAAATTACGTACATATGAAAATTTGAAAAATCGAAAATCACATTGGTACAGGATTCGAACCCAAGACCTGTAGATTACAAGTGAAGTGCATAAACCACCTAGCTACCAACACTCTATATTTATATAAATAAAAACCTTTTTATTGACATACAAATAATATAGTGTTACACATAATAAGAAACATTTATGAAAATTAGTAACAGATGGCAAAAGGGGGAGGCACAGCGTAACCCATACTGGTTGAGATCCAGTATTGAGCCGGTTTTTAGCCACTTTTTAACTACTTGTTAATGTTTTTGGTTCGACAACCTCGTTGACTGTTTCCGAACTATGTAACTTGTATTTTACTCAGTTAAAAAATTGGT